GAAGTTCGTACGGCGAATATCATTGCCCAAGCACCTGGTGTTGAAGTGCTAACGTTAGACAGGCAAGTTGAAAGACTTATTGGCTGTGTTCGACTTGGAGGGGCATTTTATACTTTCAGTAGTTCCCTTTGATTATTCACGTTAACTAACAGGTCTCAGTTCAATCGGACGTGTAAACTCCTGAAAAGCTGCGAGATTACACGAGTGAGCCGCTTCGGTAACAAGAGTTTACAAGTCAACCCAATGTGACCTGTGGAAGCTTAGCTGAGTACAATCTGCCCCCCCCCCCCTCCAAGCCGAACTGCGCTGAATTCTCTGTTAACGCATTCTGGACCGACTCCTATCTCGCGTGGTATTCACGTGTGGCTGGAGGTTTTTGTAATGTTTGTCCGGCGTGGCACTCAGCCGGTCATGTGCCCAGGTTTTTTGGCACCTTTTTTTGCAACGGATTATTTTAATCCTGATTGTGCTACTACGGGTGTTGTCGTTTTTTTTCAGTTTCACATTTGATATGAATTGTTGGAAGCAGTGCCGTTTGACACCATGAAGCGTCACTACCTTCCCCAGAAATCGATGTAATCTGGCACTTGGGGGTAGTCCGGGGGGGGGGGGAGGGGTGTTGATTATGGGCCATATACTCTATACATTTTTGATTCCACGCTAGTGCTGAATGTTGTAGATTACCCTCAAATGCAGTATCAAGTAGACATTGGTATGTAAAAATGGGCTGCTAAAGACGATAGCCAAAAATGAGTGCCGCATTCGTGATTGGAACGCCCCCCCCCATCAGGGCACATATGTTGAGGATCTCCAGCAAGGGGTCGCACTTGCTTTCGAGGAAAATGTTTTCGGTTGTTCGGTTGTCAATTTTTCTCGGTTTCGCCATTTCACGTGCGCCATCCCTATCCTTCCTCCTCCCTTCGGTCCCCTCCTCTTCCCCACAAAAGACGGCAGTTTTCTTGAAGCAAAACTGGAGAACATTGGGAGCGGGGGGGGGGAGTGGAAAAGTGAGAGGAAATGGGGCAGTTCAGAAAAACGGTTGGTAGGGTAGTGATTGGGGGGAGGGTGTATCAGAGGAGGGACTTCCAAGGGGATCGTATTTTGCGAAATTTCCTTTAACGACAGGACATGCCCTGCTCCTCACAGCAATGCCCCCCCCCCCCGTTTTTCCACCCACATCTATAGTGAATCATTCTGTGCTCAATATATTCCTGAGAGGATTTATTCAAGTTTCTGGATCTGGAACAGCATAGATAAATGAACTCGTACCCTAAAGTGATAACAGTGTTCCCTAACTGCTCAAAAATCCTAGCAATATTTAGCTCATAGCCGTGTCGACCTTGGCCTCAGAAAAAACCATGACTGCGCATGAGTGTCACGATGTCCGGAATGTGTTGACAATATGGGGTCTCAGCTTTCCTTCTGAACATTAATCTGTTACCTTTTCTAAATTACTGTTTGTTTCAGGGAATCATTCCTCAAACTAATAGGTGATCTTGAAGCATTGAAACGAGATTACGGTGATAAGGAACGATTAGCACATGTTTCAATAGAACCGCTGAGTCCTACAAAGGTATGGATCTTGTACTTTTTATCTTAGAATGTGATCTTGAAATGTTGTCTCATTGCCTTTAGTGCCTCACCTCTCGAAACTTGCTAGATTTGACCCTGTTCGGCTTAAATGGGGCATTTTGCTTCCCACTAGTTCAAGTTAAATAACACCTCACACTGTGGTGAGACCTGTAAACTCTTGTCAAGTGTTAACGAAATTCATATTGCACAGGAGTTTACAGGTATTCACAAGAGGCATCTTAGGATAGATCGGAGAACCGCCAAATACCCCAGCAGCCACAGCAGTCGTTGAATTTTATCCAAATGTCCGTGCGAGAATTTTGCAAGAATTTGTGCTCAAGTGAGCGTATTAGAAATTGATAATCCTTTGCATTATGGCACGGGGGCAAAAACACGGTCCGCCGCTATGGTACAGACGGGTTAAGGAGGGCTTATATCACACGCTTGGGCGCACTTATAGCCCACAGCGAGTGAGAATGGTGCAGATTTCTTATCAGATCTAGATCAAAAGATAAGTTTCAGGAAAAAAATCCCGAATAATTCAGAGTGGGCAGTGCAGAGACGAACGTAGCCGTGATAATTTTCTTTGCAGGATGTCATACGAGAAGAGTTTGCACATGTTCAATTGAAAAATATAAAACGGTTAGCAACCCTAGGTGTGGGAGGATTTGGACGAGTAGAATTAGTAAGTTTTTTCTGTCACCTTTGATCCATCAGACTTTAATCAAACAACGCATTGAATTCGCAACATTTCAGGTTTGTATTAATGGTGACAAATCCCGGACGTTTGCTCTAAAAGCATTAAAAAAGAAACATATCGTAGATACCCGGCAACAAGAGCACATTTTTGCGGAGCGAAATATTATGATGGAGACTAACTCTGAATGGATTGTGAAGTCAGTTTGGCATACTTAAAGACACAGTGTATGGTAACTTAGAAGGTGGATGTACCCTCAGGTATAAGGTGCGCACATTCATAATAGACCAATGCGTCCTTTCGTCTCAAGTTCAAGAGCGTGACAAGGGCGCCTAGCAGCTTAGAAGACAGAGCGCTCAGCTCCCAGGCGCGTGGTCCCCGCCCACGTCACGGCTACTGTGTCATTGTGCAGTTGATCCTGGATTTCTTTTCGAATTAAGAATGAACATCGCGACAGATTTTTTGCATGTGGGGTGGTTAAGTAAGCGGCGCTACCGGTACTGACATGAATCCGGCAGCAGGTGGGGAAACTCGTACCACGCTCGACAACTAAGGGTCTTATTCAAGGCGTTTTTCTGCGTATTTTATTTTCTGCTGTCCTCTCAATATTTGAGCCTCACCACCTTCATTTTGCCATTGTGCACTGTGCAATTGTGTTTTTTTTTCTAGTTTGTCCGTAGTTTTTGGTCATACTTCGCGCTCATACTTCGCGACTCGAGCGACTGAATCTCAGAAATCGGGAATCGAGCACTGTGATCGAACGCGCTCCACCGCATTTTTCAATCATCGGACCGCTGTTAGTTCTCTC